TCCTTACTCAACACTTTCCATTACCGGTTGGATATTTCCTACTCGTTCAATGATGGAGTCTATGTGATTTCTGTCAGTTTCTTCTAAGTCATGGGAGAATTTTCTAGAAGGAATGTGCTTGCATTAAAACTGACCTACCAGGCCCACCCATGCTGCCATGGTGAATCACTTTGTGCATCACTTGCTCTTGGTCTGCTTGCCGTCTTCCCTGATGTGTCCCCAGTTCTGCGAACCACACCCACAAAAACAACTCAGAAACAGATTTTCTTTAACCACATCTGATGCTGGGGAATTGGGATTTTTTTTAACCAGGCCCACATAGCTATCTGATGGATCATTCTCCCTCCATTTACCACAAATAAGTTCTCAACCAGTGCCTGACACCAGGGACAGAAAGATGAATTAGTCACACTTGCTGTCCTTGGTCACTTTCTAGTGACAGCAAACTTCATATCCCTATTACATTCATGGCCTATCTAGAGGTTTTGATTTTTTACATAAAGCTGTTTTACAACTCTTGATAATTCACAGCTTATTATATATATAATATGGTGTGTGTGTGTGTGTATGTGTGTAACTTAAAGCTTTAGATGCATGGCTACAAACTGAATTGGCATGGTGTTTGCCATTCCTGGTATATAATATAAGGCCTGCTTTTCTAGAGAGATCATTATGGTGTCAGTTAGCTGGAATCAATTCCGAACTTGCTTGGACATGAGGTGAGAAACTAAAAAGTGGTAATGTAATCCAAAATTTGGTGTCTTTTAAGTTTGGCTTATATCACGAAGAGTAATATTTGTAAGGACAAAGCAGCAACTATACTATATAATTCTCTCTCAAAAGACTTTCTAAATGGCAGAAAATGCTATAATGCAGTGTAAGTGTGGAACTAAGCTGAATAACTAACATTCATGCATATATCGCTATTATTGTTGTTGTTATCATTAAAGTCTTACCATTCCTATTACAAGTATTACCAGTACTACTAGTGAGAGTTTTAGTTGTATTTTTTTGTGTCGATTTTCCATCCAATAAATTTCTCCATTCTTTTCCCATTTTTAACCTCATCCTAATTGTCTATATAAACAGAACTGAACATTTACTTAATTTCATAATACTAAGCCAAAAGCATCAAACTGGTACTGATTTCTGACAAAATGATATCATGTACTAAAATTGTATTGTAATAACATGTCTCCTGTACATGATATTGTTTTGCTTGCAGTCAAAGGTAAAAATCTTTTAAAACATTATTTAGGACTGTTTTTGGAATCGGGCATTAACAGATTATCTCTACTTACTTGAAGGAGATCCCACAGGCCTATTACACATCAAAAAATGAGAGACATAGGCAGAAAAACCACATTCAGCTTTGTGAATTGTTCTCAGTACCATTCCAGGTCATGCAACTTGCAGAAATGTTAATGTGACTGTCCCTAATATTTTCCAACAAAGCGACCTGAATATCTGATAGTACTAACTGGGAGACGATTTCTTAGGAGGTTCACAATCAATATTCAATTTCAGGAAAATACACAATTAGAAATGAAAAAGTAAAACTGGACCATGAATTTTGTGTGCAATGAGAAAATCAATTAGTATAAAGGTAAAGTTAGGAGGAACCATTTAACATAGAAAATGATTCTAGCAATAGTAGAGAGTAGATAGCTTGGATTCTCTTAGTAACATCCAGTACTGGGTTAAAAAAAATATGCCGTTAAACACATTGCCTACCTCACAAGAACATAATGAAAACCACCAGTCCTCCAACACTGTGACTATTCAAAATGTGCTAAATGTTCTACCAAATGTAATTAGAAAAACAAAGCAAACATTATGAAGACTGAGGGGGAAAAAGAAACAAACTACACCTAACTGCACATAATGTAGTTGTTTATAGAGAAGTACAAGAATTAAAAACTTAGTAAAGTTGCTGAATATAAGACCAATATACAAAAAGCATTTACATTCCCAAGTATAAACAACAAAGAGTTAGAAAACTGTACTTTTGAAAGCACAAAGTGTATCATTCATAAAGATAACCAAAATATGCCTAAGAATAAATCCAGTGAAAGATTGGCAAGATTTTTTTAATGTAGGAAATTTTACACACTATTGAAATGTTTTTGGAGAGGACTTAATTACACAGAGAATTATATCATGTTCATAAAAATGTAAATTCAATTCCCTAGAGGTGTAAACATTTCTCAAATGAGCTACAGTTGAAACACAAGTCCTACTCAGTCCAACTCAACTAGACTGTGAGTTAGTGGACTAGAATTGAGCTGCTGGCATTCAAGGAAAATTTGTGATTCTTAGGGGAACCTCATATAATTAACAGTACCTCAAACAGAAAAAAGAAATTCCCTGTAAATTCTATTATCAAAGGGAGAATGCTCAGATATCTTCTGCACCCAAAAAGCTATCTGATTGAGTAAGAGCTGGAATATTTCTGTCAATGTTAGGAATTGTTATCTTGGTTGCAAGATAACATTTTTTGTTCATGACTCAGACAGAAGGCATCTTTGGCCTACCTGCCCAGCACCTAATATGGACACAGACAAGGTTTCCAGATCTGAGAGGAGAATGTTTTAGCAAGTGCTCCCTGCCACACATGAGAGCATCCGAAACATCCAGAGGTATCTGAATGACTGTACCTCACCCAAAGGCTGCTCGTTAAACTGTAACAGGCATGCCACCTGTTCCTCCAGAGGCCAATAAGTGATCTTTGAACAGGGCTGGAGTTAAAATGTAAACCCGTGCTCCACGTTTTTGCATTGTTATAACGAAAGCACTTGTAACAACTGGCTTGAGATGAGTGTGTAGTCAATGTTTGCTTCTAAGATTGGCTCAGTGTTTACATTCTGAAGGAAGAACCCATTTGCTATGAAAACGTTTTTTTCCAAATACTCTGATTGCTTTTGAAACAGCTCTTAAAACTGTAACACTATGTAATCAGCCAAACTGTCTGTACGATAGTTACCTTTTCAACTCCATCGCCAGGGACGTTTGGGTATTTTTACAGTGAAAAGAGGAAGAATTTAAAGCAAGAGATGATAAATGGTCTTTTAAAGGGCTGTATTATTATCTCTGCATTGTGAACTATGAATTCGCAAAACCAGATTCAAAGGCAAAATCCTTGGTCAGTAAGTTTTTCATTTCTTTAGTAGCCACAAAAGCGTTGTATAGCGTATGGAAAAACCTCATGCTAGTGACATGATTGGTGTTTCCCTTCAATCATTTCTTTGTGTTTTTGACTCACTCAACCTGTTTTTCCACACTCACATGCTTTTCATTGTTAAAAGAGGTGACAGATATGAATTAAAAGCTTGATAGCATAGCATCTGCTTTCTGCTGAGTAATTTAATTTTTAGACTTATACTTCTATTTCTTGATCACTAATCCCCAAAAGTGAGTATCATTTGAAAAGGGTGGAAATAGTAAAGCTCGAAGTGACCTGAACAGGTGAATTAACTTGGTCCAGTTGACATTTATAGCGAACTCCATCCCACACTGGTATAAAAACATTCTTGTCAAACTCACATGAAACATATGAGTTTGACCCTAGCTTTCCCATAAAGCGCACCTTACCACAGTTAAAGCACGGAAACCATATGAAGTTTGTTCTTAGGCCTTAATGAAATTAAACTATACATAGATGAGAGATAGCTGGAGAATCTTCAAATAAGTGCAAAAGGAACAACATGCCTCTGTGAGCCAGAGAAATCTCAAGAACAATTTATTTGTAATTGAAGAAAAAGAGGACAGCTATTAAAATTTGTAAGACAGCAAAAGTTGTGCTTCAGAGAGAAATCGACAGTGCTCACGGCATATATTAGAAACAAAAGTGTCATGTCCTTAGGAGAGTCTACCTTAGGAGTCAGCGAAAAGGATGAAATGAAACTGATCAACGAGGATAGAAAAGAATGTTCAGCTTCAAGTATAATCCAGTGAATAAAATGGGAATACAACTGATCACTCCACATAGTGAATTAGGAAGCTTATTATTTTTGAGTCTAATATGAATGCTGAGCCAAGTAAGGTGAAATATGCACCACGTTTCAATGATAGTTCTACGAATGGACAAAATCTTCTTAAAGAAATTTGGTAGTGTGGCCTATATGTACCTTTCCTTTGACCTGGTATTTCTATGTTAGTGAGTTAAAAGGAAATAATCCTACAGTACAAAAATTCAGTTTGCATAGGTAACCATAAAACTATTCTTTATAATACTGAAAATAGCCCAAGTATCAAATAAATGTGATGTTAAACAGAACAAGGTATTCATACTCACTGAAACAGTGGATGGCCATGAAAATTGCTGTCTTGAAAGAATTTCTAATACCAATAAGTGAAAGAGTATGGAGCAGAAATTTTATGGAGATATATATATATTCACAAGGAAATATAACAAGTGAAAACTGATCTCTCCTGATAATGGGCTGTCCCTTCTTACTTTTTTTCTGAATTTCTTCCATAGCTACAGTGAGCAGTGTTTCCCTCCTGGGCTTGCAGTCTGTATTTGGGTTATGATCTCAGCTCTGCCCCTTAGAAGCAGTGTGAATCTCCATTCTCGTTTGTAATATAAGTGTGATGATTGAAGGTCTTTCCTTAGGGGGACTATGTACATAGGGTAATTGGCATAGGGCGAGCTGTACGTGAAGACCTCCATGAACGCTGGCTGGTGATATTGGTTAAAGTGAGGGAAAGTCAAGAGGAAGCATATAGAACAGGCTTATTCAGATTTGCATGGGGTTTATTTCCACATAGGACTCTATTTACTTACCCTTTTCAGGGATATGAAAATGGAAGACATCTGTTTACTGATTGCAGGGTATTTTATGCCCACAAAAGGGCAGTTAAGTTTTACACATGTATAAAGTACACAGTGGTAGACTGTAGGTATGTTTGACTCTCTGCGTATTTAGAAGTACTGTACCAAAGACAACACAAGTGAGACCAAGAAAAGAATTCAAATTATGACTTTAGCTACTTGTTACCTTAAGTCTGCGGGTCTTGATTTTTTTTGCAGAGTAAAAGATAGGAATCCACACCTCCCTCACCCTAAAGGGTAGACATAAGGCCAGAAAATACGGTGATTCCCCAGAGCAAAATCCCAGCGAGGCTGTCAGTAGACTGAGAAAGCCCTCACACACCAGGATTCTCTTCAGTGTAAAATGCAATTGGAGTTAAAATGCATTAGTATAACTGTATGATTTCATTATCAAAATCAGAGTTGTCTCAGAAATACAGAACAGAAATACCGTGCATCCTAACAATAATCATTTGTAAAGACAATTCCTTCCCTCTTACTTGCAATAAAGCTGACATTCATTCAGGCATTCCTGAAGGAGAGCAGAGTGGGTGAATGACACATTTTCCCTCTCTGATAGAAGCATCACCTGTAGTGACGTTAGCGGGACTAGTGACACACATGGAAGAGCACTTAGATTCGATAGCAGAAAACTTTTTATACTAACTTTGGCTTTAGAATTTCAATTCCTCAAGTTTAGCGAGGAATATTTGTGTGAGTCAATGTCATGTATAAGGAAAGAAGATCTAAAGTAAAATATATGCGGTATTATTTTAGAGTGTGCAGAAACATAAAGAACTTATTGGAACCAATTATTTTATTGGTGGCAACCATGCTCTTTCATTACCCACTGACTGTCTGGAATGTATTGAGCTGTGAATATGTGTTACATTTAAAAACCACTTAGGATCTTCTGATGTTTCTGGGAACAGAATTTCTCATTACAGTGAGGTTCGTTACCGTGAATTAAGGGTTAAAGCAAATTGTGTCTTCGATTCATCCTTTAAATTGTATTGTAATCTTGTGAGATTTTAAATCCAAATTTCATGTTTGAAACTACAGCACAGATTTAGAATTATAAAATATCCAAGGTAATTAAGACCCAGAGGTAAAACCAAGTAAGAAGCCTATCTAACTTCATTAGCATGTGGAACACATTGTACTGTGTCATATATCTTGAAATCTTGCTTACAAACAGCATATTTTAACAAAAATCTTTAAGTTAAATTGTTGTTCTAGGAGGTTGTGGTCTTTTTAATGTCGGTTTTCTAATCTGGGGGCAGTGGTTCTTTGGTTTTTAACCAAGGAGACAGAAAAAGTAATCGAATTTTTGTGCTTTTAATCATTAGATAAGAATACTAGGCAAAACCTCTGATCACAACTCAGTCACTAATCTTAACTAGCCGAATAACCTTGAGCGGGCTGGGGTTTTACAATAATAAGTTTTAAATGCTTCATTTCAGCGAACATCAGTTTTCTTGGTCAGACAAGGAGACTGTCCAACTGCCAAGATCCTTTCCTCTGCTAATCTTTTATCATGAAATTATGACAGAAGTAAACACATACCGGTGATCGTAAATGTTTGTAAATGCCGGCTTTCCTTAGAGAGTCCCTTTCCCCTCCTGCTTCAACTCTACCTGGACCTGGAGACTGGACGGCTCTGTGAAAAGCTCGTCGGTGACTGTCTGCTGGACAGAACTGGCCTGCCAGCCCCTCTCAGTCGCCAGTCCCGGATGGAATCATGCCACCTCCCACGCCAACAGAATTTCCTGACTTTCCAGTTCTTGAAAAAGATACTATCATTCTTTCAGCTGACGCGATTCAGAGCTGCCAGGTCACCCTTCCCTCCTTCCCAGTCTTCTGCTCACTCTGTGCTCAGAGCCCTGTCCATCCCTTCATTCTCCTCCCGTCCCTCTCCCTTTCTCGGTTTGCAATCATCATCTTAGAGTCGACCCCTGCACTGAGGACTCCTCAGCCCGCCTTCCAGGTCCTCCCTGGAAATGTGCCACTTCTGCCAATGCTAGTTATAATCCTGTGCCTCCCATGAGCCATCACAGCCTTTAACTCCTTGGTCCTGCTCTCCTTCCTCTGTCCCCCATTTCCATGGATCCCCATGAATCCTCCCCTCCTGAGAGCCTCGACCCACTTCCTGAGGCCCTTTGCATGTCCACACCTGGGCATGTCTGTGACCCACACCAGCAAGGCTCACCCGCACTCTCCCTTCCACTAACCGCCTACCCAGCTGTCGGTGCCCAGCTTGAGTCCACCTTTCCACGAAGGTCTTCTAACTTCCTGGGCCCAATTGCTGCACCTGAGCCTGGTGACCTCTGTGTCACTCTTTAGGGCTTTTTTTATATCCTGCCTTAAATTGTTGTATTTTGTAAGATGAAATGTAAAAAAACAAAATGAAATGAAATTACATGGTATTGCTGAACATCAAGGAGCCAGAGTCATGTGGAGTATTTGGAGACATTCCTTTCTATTCTTTTTTTTTCATATGAATGTTTGCCATCATTAAAGTACACATTCAGTTTGCTTCTTGGGTTCTTAATCACTCAATTTATAAGGGAAAAGTGTGACAGAATAATTAAATAGTGTAGAGGGTAGCATGGGGAAGTCAAGGGGCAGCTAACCCTGCTGGAAGAGGAGAGTGTAAGAAAGAAAGTTGTCACAGCAGCGATTGTCAGAACTGAGTTTCAAATGATGACCTCCGGTATCTGCCAGGAGCAGAGAGGAGGAAGTTGTGCACCTCAGAGCCCGCAGGAGGTTCACTGTGAGTGGCCAGGAGCCCGTGGCAAGGATCTGGGACATCACAGAAAGTTTGGGTGCCAAGCCAAATGACACAAGCCCCATCTGCCAACAGAAAGGAGCCAGAGAAGATGACAATAGATACTGGAGCCAAATACATCTGTCACAGTGCTCGCTTTTGATGACATATGTGGTGTGATCGAAAATTACGGTGAATGTTTAAGGGCTTTGTTGTTTTCTGATTGTGTGACAGTAAAAGACACATGGCCATTAATCCCCCTCAGGAGATCCCACCTCATGTTGAATATATTTAGCCATCATTCCTGCCACTTGCTGAAGCAGTCTGGACACCCTTTTCATGAATATCTTTATGAGTTATAACAAAAAATACAGTGGCTACAACTGCCAAGTGCCATCCAACAGAAAGGCAGGCTGGTGAAAACACCAGGGTGTGTCCTAACCTTATTCATCAGATCTGACACCAGGAGGATTATAGTTCTTCTCCAAAGGCAAAATGACCCTGAGAGGTAAACTCTGAATCAGTTCAGGACATGAGGCAGCCATGAAAGTGCAACTGAAATCACTCCTGGAAGATGACGTCCAGAACTGCTTCAGAAAGTGGTGGGAATGATAGGATAAATCCGTCCAATCACAGGAGAGCATTTCGAGGGAAGGTATTTTGAGAGGGATTATTGGTAATGTGCCTTTTACTGTAACACATTTTTAAAATTTTAAAAATTCACTCCAGTTTTAGATGACACCTCATGCACGCCTAGTGGTCCCCCCAGTATCTAACATCTCATCTTCCTAATACAATCCTAACAGAGCAAAGAATGGCAATGAGCTGGGTGGAATATTTGGCTCCCAGGACTTCCTTTAAGTCCAGAGAGGCTATTTTGAACAGTTAGACGTAAGCAAGTGGGTAGGGCTGCTAGGAAAGGTACTTAAGAGCTGGCTGGTGTGTGTCAGGGTTTTTTCTCTCTTTTTCCATTTCTCTTGCCTAAAACAGGAACACAGATCCTAAAGGCAGAGCAGCCATTTATGCCCATGAGGAAGAAAACTACACAAATCCTGATGATTTCCTTGAACAACCGCACTGTATCAGACTGTATACCTCCTCACTTCTCATCATTAGAAAGAAAACAAACTCTCATTTTGGTTAAGCGACTGAATTGAGTTTCTGTTCATGCAGCTGAATGAAATCCTATCAAATATAGCAGTATGTCTATTTCTTGGAGATTTACAATGAAAGCATGTTAAAAATTCAGAGAAATCTGACTAACTTAAATCTAATATTTAAATACTTAACTAACAAATCCTTTTTCTTCAGAGAGTGTAATGTGTCTCATTGGACATGAGTATGTCTGTAGAACATTGAGAAAGGACACCCTTTCTATGTTGATGTAGGCACAGGAAAGGCAAAATCTGCAATCTCAACTTGGTCACTAATCCATGGTAATCCAAGGTGACTCTATAACCTTGAGTAGGCTGGGATCTAGGAAATAACAGGTTTTAAATATAGAATCTCAATGACCACCCTTTTGTCCTGTTGGAAAATTAGTTTGATGAAGTAACTTCCAGCATAACTTTTCCTATGCTGATGTTTTATCATGAAATTATAAATCATGTAAAATTATGATATGGATACTAAATGTTTGAAAAGTAGGCTTTTTTCCCCCCATGAAAGACTTCATTGGAAAAGACTAGCTGTCACATTCCACTAAGGAAAAGTTCAGAAAGAGGAACATATTAGAGGAGAAAGATGTTGAGTCTTGTTTTGAACATGAGATAAGCAATAGGTCAGGGTTGAATTGAGGAGTCCAGAACTGTCCAGAGACAGCTGGACAAACAGCTCCAAAACTCAGGAGAGGGACTGGAAGGAGCAAGTTAGGTGTTGGTTAAAGCCATCCTCTACGGGGTGCACTGTGCTTGTTAAGGGAAAAAACATCCTGGGCATGGCCTTCCCAGGGAGGGAACACGCATCGTGGTTCTGAATCCCTCCTCTTACTGCCTTGCACCATCCTCAAAAGAGGACATAGAAGCAGGCGTGGTGGCACACACCTGTAATCCCAGCACTCGGGAGGCTGAGACAGGAGAATCATTGCAAGTTCGAGACCAGCTTGGGCTACAAAAGTGAGCTCAAGGCCACCCTGAACTGCATAGCGAGACCCTGTCTTAAAAAGACAAAAAAAAGAAGAAGACATGGAAAAAACCCGCTCTGCTTACACTCACACACAAGAAGTTCAAGTCCTGACTTGTCCATTTTCTCCAGTCTGCAGACTCTAGCTCGGTTAACTTTTCTGGGCTCTAGTTTCCTTGTCAGGTAGATGACATTCTGACCCTTTAACAATGACCTTTGTGGTGGGTTAACTGATGGTCCACTTGAACACCAGCTGAACTGAGTCATCATGGTGGTGCTGGGTGTGGAGAGCCCACCTGAGGATTGCTGCCAACAGCATGGCAGGAGAGCTGGAGGGCAAGACGGTGCCCTGCTGATTCTCTGGGAGAAGCTTGTCATGCTGGTTTTCCGGATAAGAACTCCGCTGTTTTCATCATAGGAGGAGCTTGGGACATTGCCGTCACTGAGGATGGCTGCGGGTCTCTCCAGGGGAGCTCTGGTTCTTACCTTGAGCATCGCTTGCTGGCTCCAGTGCCGATACCTCAGCCTGCTGGCACAGCTCCTTCACCGTACGGGCACAGACTTTCAAGCTTCTGCCGCTGACCTTTGGCCTTCCAAGGCAGATCCTTGATGCAGACTTGCATGAGACATCATCATGGGCCCTAGGCCTTCAGCTGAACTCAGAGAGGACATTGCCACGGGATCCAGGCCCTCAGCTGGATTCTTTGGGTCTCTAGAGCATGGACAGATCCCCCGCACTCTTTTGCATTTGACTCTTTGGGTGAATATGATAAACTAACCCTATAAATTTTATGTCCTGAATTAAATCTTTTCCCTTGGAAACCCCGACTACAGCAACCTTGAGTAGATTACTGCGGCATTCGGCGCCCATTCCTTTCTCCTTACAGCTAGAGACAGTTTGCTGCTTTGTACTTTCATCCCCTGTACAAGGTCTTTCACTGACGGAAAGCAGCATTTAAAATTAAGCCAGGGCAACTAGCTTCTGTCTACAAAATACTTATCTACGAGATGTGACGGAAAAATACAGTGAATGTTTAAATCTTAAATTTCATTGCAGAAAGAGACGCCTTCCAGTTAACTCTCTTAAAACATTCTGGATCCTTTCTGAAGCAGTTCTTAGAAGTCCTCTTTCTTGATGGTCTTTAGTTGTGCAGTTGTAGCCACCTCGATACCCTAATCAATTCAAAATGTTTGCCTTTCATGGTCATTATGACCTTGGGGAAGCCCCAGAAGTTGCATGGTCCCGCATCTGGTGAGCAAGGTGGATGAGGACAAACGGGAATGTTTCCACGAGCCTGCCTTGTCATCAGCCGGCAACAGCAGCAGCAGTTACACTCATGATGGGGTAAGTGTGCTCAAAGTAAGGGGAATTATTCTGAGGTGGACTATTTTGAGAAAGATTAATGGCAACGTAACTTTCACTTTAGCAATTTTTTTGAAAGATGTAGACATTCACTCTATTTTTATCACATCTCATGTGTATACATAACAATAGAATTTCAGGGCAGATCAGAAGAGGTTGTGTGCACATGACGGATTGGTATTTTTACTATTTATGTACCTAAAAAACCAACATGTTTCTGTATGTCCTGTACTTTTCCAAGCACTTCATAAATATTAATTCACTTAATATTTGCAATAATCTTACAAATTAGGCACTGGTATATTTCTAATGGCAAATGTGGAAAGGAGGTAGAGAGAGGTTAAGTAACTCAGCCCCATCACACAGCTCGTCACCTGCAGAGCCTGCGGGTCACATCCCATAATACGTGCTCTCAGCCACACGTAAATAAAAGGAATCCACCCATACTGTTACTGTTCTTGCATTTCTGCAAGGCCTGTTCTTATTTGTTTAAATGTTCTAGGCTCCAGATAACTCATTTGAACGTGAAAGTGCATGCATGCCTTTTTAAACAAAAGTACTGGTGCCCTTCCCGGAAGAGCACATGTCTTTTCAAAGGCCTCACTCCCTTCCTAGGAATGAGTAGCTGTAGCCAGGAAGCACATGAAACAGGCAACCGCACCACTGGCAGGAGGCTTAGCTTAAAGCTTAAGGAAAGTCCCAAGGTGACGTTCCCATGGGCCATTCGAAGGTCACAGGCCAGGTAGAAAATAAAACCTAAGATTCTTTCAGTGGAAACTGTCCTCCTCATGGTCTTCCAGTTTGAAAGACAAACAGCTTTATACTCGTGGAAAATTGATGGATCAACAATGATTTTTTTTTTTTTTGATCTGCAAATCGAGGTCCTGCCTCCAAGTATGTGTTTCTGGTGTAAGCCAGCGTTGACATCTTTCCTATTGCCTTGGCTTTGTGTAAATAGGCCCAGCTATTCCTGTTCCCTCCCACACATCTATGTTGTGAGGATAGAAGAGATAATGTTTCTGGTTTCACGGAGGAAGGATACTAGGTACACTAAAAATATCACTATTTTCAAAGTCCTTCCTTTGTTGGAAATGTATACTAATGTCACAGGTGCACGGTGTGGGTAAGGAGTCAGATTTTCCATAGAAGTGACCGTGGTTTTAGAAAAAGAGATACTTCATTAAAGACTATTTTTTAAAATTTTAACCATTTTTGAAATGTAGTGACTTGAATTTGTTGATTTGCTCTCTAAATGAACATTGAATGCTGACTACATGCAATGTTTTTTAATGGAAATCTGTACTCTGTATTTTATCTTTTTAAATGACTTCGTAAGACATCAATATATGTGAAAAGAATTTTAACTGACTTCTAGCATGAATCAGCCAACATCACAAGGCTGCGAATGCATCTTTAGGTTATAGAAATATAAGCCCCGTACCTAAGAAGGGGACCATCCTCTTTTGCTCTACACTGATCAGGCAAACTTGGAGGTGAGTCTAGGTCAAATGGGTACAAATCTGAAGAGAGATGATTACAGCTTGGATATCACATCATTTGGGTGACCGAACAACACTTGGAGAAGGACATAAAACCTGACTTCATCAAGAAAGGCATAAAACTTGACTGCAGATCTTCAAGAATAAATTTTGCAGCACAGAAACTGGCTTATTCTGTGGGCTTCAGGAGATTTGCTACTGTTTTGCCCCCATATCTGCTTGTTATAGCTTTCTCACTCTCCCTATTTCTAGGTTGTCCCAACTAAACCCTTGTCTTTCATAGACTCTTGCTGCATTTTAACGTGTTACTTCAAAAATCCTGCGATCCAGAAAAGCATCAGAACCAAACATATTAAAAGTACGTCAGTAATATCAGCAGGTCCTGATCGGCTCTCCTATGATCAAGTTTCCTGAATCCATTTTTTAAAATAAAATAGTTTTAACATAACTCACCCAAAACATAGAGTGAACATTTGCAATGTTTCTGGCAAGTGTTTTCAGTTAAGAATAATGGGGACTATACGGAAAACAGGAATGTTTCATGTAGACTGCTCTGCCATTACGGTACTGTCTTGTTAAGGGAAATACTGTAAGAACCAGTTACGGAGCCATCAAGAAAATATATTATCATTGTAGGATTGGTGCAGATGACAAGCGCTTTTTGAAATTTGTAATGAGAAATACAGTATCTCTGCCTAAATATAGTAGCCTCAGACAATATTTCTCTCTCTCTCTCTCCCATTAGGTTAATATTTGTGCTAAGAGCTTTAGGCAATTATAACTTTCTATCATTCATTTAATACAAAGTACAGTTAGATGCTTCAGTGACTTGGTTAGCAGCACATGCATGAGAAATGAAGAAAGCCCTACTATTGCTAATAGTTGAATACTCAAAAGATGTCTTTGTATAATATCATACAAATATTATATTATACAAATCACCGTCTCATACCATTTGCCACTTCCCAGAGTAATTTTAATGTCTCTCAAGTGGATTACGCTGACCTCTACCGAGCTCCTCCTGGGAAACATAAACTTCTTACATGTTCCCGGCGAGGTCATTGTAAATCACATCTCCACTGCCCCCAGAGCTCTGAATTTTCCCTGTCTGGAACACAGGAGGTAACTGGATGGTATCTGTAGAGCAGTTACTTTTCTGGAAAACATTCAAAGGCACAAAATTGAATGCTGCAGTACAAAATTGCATTCGATTTAACTTTTGCCAATTTCCCTGGATGTGTAAGCAGAATTAAATTTTCCCTGAATGTGCAAAAGCTCCCAAGTGGTATTTAATCTCCTTCCATAACACCAGCCTGAGCAATCCTAGCTACAATTAGCTGCTTGTGGTTGGTACTGAGTCGCTCCCCTTAAGTTACTTCATAACCTTGTTTCGCAGTGCATCACACTCTACAGAGTGAGGCTGCGGGGAAGGACCCGAAGGGCGCTCTTCGTTACACCCCAACCCCTAGACTAGGATGTTCTTAAACTGCCCAGGAGTTCCTAGAGTTCGATAAGAGGACATCTTTTACAACAAAATGGGCACAGCCTCGGGCTGTGCAGGCAGTTCGTGTGGCTGCGATGCACCCGCATCCCTGAAGGGCAGCGAGCCCGCCTTGAGTATAGTGGTCAGCTCGCGCTTTGGACCAGCGCCCCAAGATTGAATTGAGCTTTCTGCACCGGGATCGCGGGACTCGGGGCGAAGGGGTGGGTGGCGGGAGGCAGAGGGAAGGCTTGTTTTGTTGGGAGATGTGGAAAGTAGGCGCTAGCCTGTTTCGCGGTTTTTTAAGCCCCTTGGCGTGCCCTGACCTGACCAGCAGGGAGTCAACTGCTCTCTGGAATGTTCCTGGAGAAGGTGGGAGACTGCTTCCCAGGGGAGGCCCGTGGGTGCTGGAGGGCACCAGGGGGGTCACGCGGGGAGATGCAGGGCGTGCGCCGGGAGGGGTGCGGGGCAAAGTTGAGCCAGGGCGTGGGGTGCCCATCCTGGGAGGGACAGGGCGTGGTGGGGGCGCATGCTGGGGTGGGGTCTGAGCCGGAGGAACCCAAACCCGGGTGGGGTCGGGGCGTGGAGGACCCATCCTGGGGCGGGGGCGGGGCGGGGCGGGGGCGGGCCCGTCGGGGCGGGGCGGGGGCGGGGCGCGAGACCCCTCCCGCGGACGGAGGCGGGTCTGGGGTGGGGGGACCCCTTCCCGGGGGCGGCGCGGACCGGCCTCGCGGGCTGCACCGCCCGGCTGTCAAGCGCGGGGGGCGGGCGGAGAAAGGGGTGGAGGTGCGAGGGGAGGAGGGCTGGCACCCGAGCGCCGCCGCCGAGTCGGTGCAATAAAAATGCATCCCGGGGCGCTGCCCAGGGGGAAGGACCGGACCGCGGCGCGGCGGCCTGCGGAGGTGGTGCGCGCGGAGGAGGACGCCCCGGAGGCGGCGGCCGGGAAGTGAAAGGTCTCGCCCGGGCCGGCGGGCGGCGGCGGGCGCAGGAGCCCCAGGGCCGCCGGGCCGGCTATGCTCCCCGGGCTCCCGCCGCCCCCGAGCTGCCCCGGCCCCGCCAGGCCGGCGCGCGAGCGTCACCCCGCCGCTCAGTGACCGCGGACTGGAGCCCGGCCCTCGGCGCCTCCCGGCCATGGGGGGCTGCGCGCGGATCCTGCTGCTCTGGGGCTGCTCGGCGGTGGCCGCAGGTGGGTGGTGACGCGCGGCCTCCGCTGGCCGCCTCCGCAGCCGGGCTCTGCGCGGGGCGCAGGGGGCAGAGCTGGGTCCCGGGATGCAGCGAGTGGCCATGTTCCCCTCTCTCCGGGGCTGCGCACTTTCTGATCCTGCTGATACACATCTATGTGCGTGTGTGTGATTTTTTTTTTCCTCCTACTGAGATGCACTTGCCCCTGAGATGATCCGAGATCCCGGGTGCACCCTGCCGGAGGCGCCGCGGCCAGGGCTTCTTTCTTGCTGCAAAACTGCCTTTCCCCTTGGAGAGGGAACAAAGGACCCGGCTCACCATCCCCGGCACTTCATGGCCTGAGGAGCTCCGGGGAGGGGTGGCCCGGCGACCTGGGCGCGCGTGGGCCGGGGCGGCCGCTCCACGAGAGCGATCGCCGACCTCCGCGGCCTCCCGACCCCGCGCGGGGCACCGGGGCGCCAGGTAGGGCCACCCGGGGAGGGCGCGCGCCTTCCCGGGGCAGTGGCCGGAACGCAGCGGGACTGCGGGCCGGGACGCTAGGCGGTGGCCACCGGCTCGCGCCGATCTGGCCGGCCGCCCGGGGGCTGGTACCTGGCCCGGCTCTGCGGGAGGTCGGAGGCGGTCCGCGCCGGGTCCCGGTAACTGGACCAGCGGGCAGGGCGTCGTCAGATGTCCGCTCCCTCCGTCCCGCCCTGGCTTTCTTGGGCTGCCCTAGGCCACCGTCCCCAGATCGCTGTTTCTAAATTCGGGCGCCCTTTCTGCTGCCCGCAGTCCCCCGTGAGAGTCACCTGGTTTCCAGGGAGGCATAAGTGCAGCGGTCTGGGCAAAGGGGAAAGAAAGCGAGAGGCGCTGCCCGCTCTCCCACAGCCTCGCCTCCTTCGGGAAGGGGTGTGTGGTTCAGGCCAGGACGCTTCTCCCCTGCGGTTTCTTCCATTCTTCCTCGGGAAAGTCCAAGCAGCAGAGTCTGCATCCTAAGCCATCAGAGTCGCAGGATCATCCTCTGGCTTAATTCTCCCGGCTTGTACACCCTTCGTGCACTAATGCAGGCTCCTCGGTGGGAAAATGAACTTTAATAAACTTTTCCCTTTTCAAACCATGTTGTGATAAAAAAAAAAAAAATGGGAGCAATCAAGAGGTTGTAAATAAATATTACAGGGTGAGTGTTTCAAGTCAAAAATACTTGTACGGGCAGTATATGATTTTCCCTGAAATGCTTTACAGGTGAGTCATAGCACACTGTGTTTGTGTGATTCTGGCCACAAGCAACTGCTGCCCCAGCTCATCAGAACAATGGCAAATAGAACCCGGGCGTCCTGCACGCTTTCACTGATGTTTAAAAAATAATGCCGGAGGGAGCCCTCTGCTTTGATTGCATGGCGGTGGCAGTCAGTGTGTGCAGGTCTCGGCTTCAGCCAAACTTATCTGGTGCGCTCCGACGCCAGGGTGATAGCAGCTCAGATCTGCTCCCTCTGAACCGAACAAAACTAAACAGAAACATTCAATTTGGGGTTCAGTTTCCTTTTCTTTCTTTTCCTCTGGGCTTTGGCTTTTAAAATAGATGGTTGTACTCAAGGTATGCATGATGGAAATGACAAGTCCTACTTAAAGGATTAGGACATGTGTTTCAGAATGCTAACAAGTGGATCACGCTTGTCATCGTAAGTGATTTTGGAACATTTAAAGCTCATTGGACCTCTGTTTGGGAGCAAGAGTATATTTTGGTACCTAGAATCAAACTCCGCCTCACACTTGCAAGGTGGGCATTTATGCTGCTGAGCTAAATCCCCAGCCCCTAAGAGTATATTTCTTTAAGAAAGAGTTTGGGTTCACAGACAGTGACTAAAGCTGGTGATAAACATCTTCCTGTAAGCAAATGGTGACTACTGTGTAACCTGTCCTAGGCAGACCCACTCAAGAGGCAGAGAGCCTGCAAAATGGGCCCTTCCATCTCTTAGCAGGTTAGAGGTGGACTTTTCTTGGTTATGTTTACTTACTATTACAAATGGATATTGCATGTCCAAGACCCTACAGGCTCCAGCTTTGCCTCCCTAAATGAGGTCCTGCTGTATGTTTGCTAAATTTCTCATACCACGTTTACTATAGAGAACTGATCTCTTTATTACCATAAAAACAGAAAGAAAATAGAATTCTCCATTTCTTACTGAATACATTCTCATAATAATCATGTCAGACAATCAGACAGAAGGACTCAACTTACAAATTAAAGTAGGTTTTTTAAAAAAGTATTTTTGATACAATTTGTGGACTTCAAAAGCATTTCAAAACTAAAGAACATTCATAAGGCAAAGTACTTGAAAATGTTATGCCAATATTCTTCACCCCGATGTGTATGTCTTCTCTCCCTTATCCTTTTTCTCTTATATTTTTTCCTCTTATGTGAATTTTACATCTAAACATAAGAAATAAAATACACATGCCCAATACCGGTCCATGATCGAACATGCTAGAATTTCCCTTTATGGAAAATCTCAAGTTCTTTGCAGATACCTTGACTGGTGTAGGTGGACCAGGTAGAGAGCTAGGAACTTTCTTTCCCCATGGGTTTGTCCTGAATAATGACACTGGCTTTCCCCTCCTTAGGGCTGAGTGGAGTAGCTGGAGCGAGTTCCCGCTGTGAAAAAGCCTGCAACCCTCGCATGGGAAATTTGGCTCTGGGGCGAAAACTCTGGGCAGACAGCACCTGCGGACAGAACGGCACCGAACTGTACTGCTCCTACAGCGAGAATGCCGATCACACTTGCCGGCAGCCCAAGTGCCACAAGTGCAACGCTGCGCACCCTCACCTGGCGCACCTGCCGTCTGCCATGGCAGACTCGTCCTTCAGGTTCCCCCGCACGTGGTGGCAGTCGGCAGAGGATGTGCACAGAGAAAAGATCCAGTTGGACCTGGAAACTGAATTCTACTTCACTCACCTAATTATGGTGTTCAAGTCCCCCAGGCCGGCAGCCATGGTGCTGGACCGGTCCCAGGACTTTGGAAAGACCTGGAAGCCTTACAAGTACTTTGCGACTAACTGCTCAGCTACTTTTGGCCTGGAAGATGATGTTGTCAAGAAGGGCGCCCCCTGCACCTCTAGATACTCTAGTCCTTTCCCGTGCACTGGAGGCGAGGTAAGAGCGTCTGTTTCACGCCGCACAGTGAGTAAAGTGAGGCAGAAAAATGTTACCAGCCCACATTTTTTTAAAGCATGAAGCTATACTTGTAGCAACATGAAGGAAATTAGAATTTTTCATGAGCTTTATTTGTCGTAAATTATTCCTCACCCTTAGCCATGGATGTTTAGTCATTTCCAAGTAGATTGCCCATTGGCTGGGTTTAAGTCAGAATTGTAGGATTCTGAGTTTTTTTCCACTTTGAGAAAGAGTAGACACACATCATCTCTCAGCATTAGAGGATTCAGAGGCTACTGGATTCTTCCGTTAGCAGCCCTGCTAGTTCTGTTTGTGAGGGTGACGTTGCTGAGACAGCCTATTCCTGGAGCCGTGCTGGTATCTTCCTGATACTGCTGACATAAATAGGAAGTAAATAGAAACAAAGCCAACAGTAAAAAAAAAAAAGTCTGTTTGTCAGCAGGATACTTCTGTGTGGCACTGGAGTTTTATCACTAAGATTCCAGAGTGCGGAGCAAACAAATGAAGGTAAGTTTTGTTTTGTTTTGTTTTTTTAAAGACAGAAAGGCTCCTTTTGGGTTCACAGGCACATCTGTTCCAGCTTAGAAACTTGGTTCTATCCTGCATCTAAGATCAGCTCATTCTGCAAAACAGCCTCCTTGGCTACTGGTGCCAATTTCTGTATGGAAGGTTTTCTCTTTGCTTAATATTTTTCTTCCCCCTTATGGGAAACAAGTCTTTTTAATTTGGGAGTACCTAGAGAGGTTTTTAATTTGCAGTACCTAGAGAGGTTCTCCCAGATATGTGAGGTCATTTGCTAAAGGCCAATTAAAAGCAGATTAAGGAGACTGTAACACCTACAATGGGTAGATCAAGAAATAGCAATTCAGAACAAAAAAGAAGACAGGCAGTGTTGTCTTTCTGATTCTGGTGCATATCATGAATGTTAGGATTATTTCCAAAAGATGAAAAATATTTCCAAAAGATGAGAAGTATAAAATAAAAAGCGGCCTTTATTCTGAAAACACGGAGAGAGATGACCGGCACCCCCACCACTGGCGTCCGGCGATCTCTCCGGCGGACACGTGGCGTGGAGGCATGTAAATAGCCTCGGTTTGGGGTGGAACCTAAGGCAGGCATTAGGGATGTACAGGTAGCCCATTGGTCCTAGGTTTGGCACCATATGTAAATTTCCAGGGGCGGGAAGATGGCATCACAGGTAACTTCCTAGGGGCAGGGGAGATAGGGGCTTCCTGCTTCCGGTTGAGGCTTTCCTGGCTACAGTGTCCTGTCTGGGCCAAAACCCTTTCAATGAATATATAGATGACGTGGTTCCTAATGAAGGTGATGTCACATCCTCCTACCTTGAGACACTGAGACATTTGGCAACTTCCAGAAACACTGTGGGGTGAAGAAGGGCGCCACTGACTAGGTAGAAGCCAAGGATGCTACTCAACCTACAACAGTGCATCATAAGGTAGCATTCCCTCCCTACCCCCCACAAAGAATTACCCAGCTCAAAATGTCAATGATACCAAGGCTGAGAAATTGGGAACCTAAGCATTAGGTATACACACAATGCACACGTTAGGATGGCTGCAGATGCTAAGATGCATCCCTGCTAGCAGCCGTTTATGCATTTAATAAGCATCTGTTGAGTTCTTGCTACTTGTCAGGCACTGTACTCAGTGCTGCTAAGTCTCTCTGCGGGTTGGTGGGGAACAGTGCTCACCAGGTACCTGATGAACAGGTTGGTTTGGAAGCCTCTTCCCATTCCCACTGCCACATAGAAATTCCGCCCCATCGTCAGCTACGTGGCCTTCATACACCCTGAAGAGTCCATTAGAAACAGTGCTGCTGGCACCATGGTCCCTACAGTTTGATTAATAACACCTGCCCGTTTGTCCCGTCATGATGGACATTTTTAAAGATACCAGGACAGGAAAGAGAAGAGACAGGTGAGTTAGTCTCATTGCTTCTTTATGTGTAGAACACCGTGTCAGCACAGATGCATGGCTCAAGCACACAGATTGCTCTGGAATTGACCCATGAAGTTCTGTCTGCTGCCTGCATCTCATTGCTACCAGTTGTGTGCAGCTAGGAAGCAGTTTCAGTAGGCAGATGACAGCCACCCTCGCTTGGCAAGCATCACATTGAATTTTTAATAACAGTCCAGAGATTAATTAACAATGATGAAAGTAACACTTTAACCTATAGCAGATGCAAAAATCTGTCTTCTTTAAATGACTTACTGTCATCAGTGCTTACATCCAATTCTGAACAAACAGAAACTAAACTTTAGTTCACATCAAGTACAACTTAGACTCCCCAGAGCATTATTTGCAAGTGTATGTTAGTCCATTGTAGAATTTCCTTCCTTCAGAAAACAGAGAGGTTTGAGAACTAATCTCTTCCTTCTGAAGAGTGCCTCGCCCACGCTAGCCAAGCACTTTCCACCACCCACTCTAGAGGAGCACTTTGCAAACCAGAGTGGAACCTGCTACCCAGACTTCCTAGACTGGTAGACAGTTTCAAAGACAAGGGTATGGTTATATCCTAAACATGATCTCCTATGCTAGAGACAAGATTCAGAGCTAAGTGGTTCATAGCTAAGCTGATTTGCCCAGAAACACATGGTGTTATGGTTTATGTTCAGATGGACATCCCTGCCTAAGCCTCATGCAATGGTGGATGCAGCCAAATCTAGCATTTGTGATCCGTTCGTTGTCTAGCCCACAGATTGGTGGTATGAGTGCTATACCCACCCAGAGGTGGAGCCAGCATGAGGAAGGAGGGCAGGAGGAAGGTATGTCTCACTCTCTTGCTGGGTTTGCTCTTGCTGCGAAGGTGGCTATGAATGGCTTCCCTGCCAGGCCACCTTGGTGATTGGAGGCAGCTGAATATGGACTAAAACCCCAAAACTGTAAGAAATAAACCTTCCCTCACTTCACTTTGTCTCAACATCAAGAGAAAAGTAACAAGACACATGGTGAGCTCCGTGAGGACTAGTTCCAAGTTTTCCAACCTGGAGTCTGATATTTATTCCATGAAACTCAGTTCTCCCTTTGTGATGGATCCCCTGGAACTTCTGACGGAAAGCGCTGTGCCTGCCTTCCACTTGCCTCATCTTTCAAAGCCATTTGCTGCAGCTCATTCGGGTATAATGTAAAGAAGGAAAAGGATCTGCCCCGCAGGATTCTCCTGAGAAGCTGCATCGATGGCCACCTAGGATTAAAGAGTTCAGTCATCAGGTTAGGCTGGAAACACTGACTGGTGACGGTCTGTTTTCTGTTGCCCAGGGGAAGTTTATTCAGCTCGTAGTTCTGGAGGCTGGGAGGCCCAGGAGCGTGGAGCAAGGATCTGCTCCGTGTCTGGTGAGGACTTCATTGCTGCATCCTATGGTCGCAAGGGTATCTCCTGACAGAGGGTGTCATTTCCTGCACAGCATTAAAGCCATCATCCTCCCAAAGTGGTCACCTCCAGACATCATGAGCAGATTCATCTGGAGATGAAGTTTGTAACACACAAACTTTGTTGTTTTGCTTTTGGGCTTTTGTTTGTTTCAGATAGGATCTCACTATGTGGCCCAACCTCACAGACATCCTCCTGCCTCAGCCTCCCAAGTGCTGTCATTACAGGTGCGTGCCACAACAACCAGCCAACACGTGAACTTTTAGAGGACACATTCAAACCATAGTGACCAGGTTTAACAAAGTTGGACATTTATAAATTACAAATGGACTCGTTATTCACTGTACACCCCAGTAGGAGAAATAGGCGGTGTCATTGCCAAACTTACTGGCCATGGGGCTGTCTTTTTGCAGACTCTCATTATCCTCTTTCAGGACCCTGCAGATCCACAAAGCGCAAAGTAGAAAAGGCTGGGGTGGAGCCAGCAAGTGCTCCCAAAGCCCTGGTGCCAGACATAAATAGTTCTGGGGCTCAGCAAGGTTGATTTCAAGATTCTCTGTCCTTTGGAGGCTTAGTCGTTTATTTTGGAAGAGTAGATAATAATAACCTTGCAGCTAAAGGTGATGGATTAATTACCCTCTTTTGGGATGCAAAGACATACTCTCAGATCACCTCAGAGAACAGAAAACAAAGGCAAGTGGAGGAGACTCAGCTAGCTATTTTAGGCCCCACACAGTCAGGCCTCACGGAGCTCGAATTTGGATCAGCACCATTTGGGAAGCAACATCTGCTCAGTGACCCAAAGCAACTGTCCAGTGGTGCAGACAGCCTCTTCGTAGAAGGGAGAATCACTTGTTCTACAAGTTGGACAGCAATCAACCAAGCCACAGAGTCATTTCCGGGGCTTGACAGATACCTACAGCACACAGAGGGGGAGCTGTAAAGTCAGAGACAGTGGTTAGGAAAGCCAAGAACCCAGGGAGTAGCTGGGTCCCTGAGCAACCCTCGAACAGATGGGATTGTTCCAAAGGGTAAGGTTGTGTCGGGTGTTTACTTCTGTATCTCCAGAATTTACTACATTCCTTGGCTCACATAAGCTGTCAAGAAATCTATAACTGAGTGGATGCACAGAATGGATGGGTGGATGATCTAACAAACAGAGATTGGGTATGAGAAGATCCTTAAATGGCAGAAGGAGAAATGATTAAGCCTTAGGCAGGAGACAATCTGAAATTCTGATTAACATAGAAACACTGAGCTAGCAGTCATAAGAGATAAGTTATGGTATGGGGTAAGTAGTCAAGGATCTTAAATAATGTTTATTTATCCATTCATTAAAATAATTTTTCAGCTATTCTGTGTCAGATCCCATGCCAGGTACTAGGGAGATAGCAGCGAACTAAACATACAAAATTCTGTCCTCATGAAACTTAGATTCTAAGTGGAGAGGCAAGAAAAGAATAGAGAGAGGTGGAGAGAGGAGAGAGAGAGAGAGAGAACACAAATGAAGAAGATGCACAGTGGATCACCGTGGTAAATACCAATACAACAGGGCTGTGGGCAGAGAATACCAGCACTAAAGGATGGGC